GGGCCGGTGTGGTTGCTGCTGGAGCAGAGAAAAAAGACGGGCCTGGTACTGCAGTTTGTGAGCAATAAACGGGTTTTGGACTTTATTTCTCCCTTTGCCTGATTTTGTCTTTTGGGGGTATTTTGCCCCGGGATTTCCTTTCCCCGGACTTATACTCAGTGAGCCACAGTTCTCACCTACAAGTGAGGCACTGACTTCACAACCAAGTGATGTGTATAAAGGCTCAGTGTGGGCATAGGCCAAGTACTCAGGAGACATAAGCCTTTACTAGCACTGCTGTGACTTCCCAATCTACAGCCAGTAGTTTAGCAGGCAGAACAGTGGGGCTAGGCTAGATTCACTGGTCCTCTCCTGCTGGGACTATTCTTATATTGGCTGTACTTCTCAGTGACCTCCAGTCCTTAGTCAACGAGCTCTAAGCGCTGGAGCACCATGTACGCCGCACCTACGACTGCTAGTGGAGCAGCTGAACCCCAGGCCATAGTCTGCTTGTGACGACATGTGCCCTGGGGGGAGACACTTCTGCACAGAAGGGCTACCTCTTTCTAACGTACACAGAGGTGCTATCTGGACTACATACAGCTGTGTCTTGACATATCAGATCTCTCTCTCATTCTCTTTCCTTCTCTGAAACTCTCAAGGAAAGTTTTGTGTCTCATGTGCTCCTCCATGTCAGTGGAGGTTGTTTGTTAGGAGCTCAGGTTGACTGAACAAGCTTCACACGCATCAGCATCAGTGAAGTGCTCTGACCACAGAATGGCTGGGAGGCAGGGAAGGGTGAAGACAAAAATATATTTATTAATGCTCTTACTACTCTCCATGAATAATATTTTCATGACTTTCTCTCATTAAAGTCAGTGGGAAATAAGAACAGGGACTGGGGTGTATTCCTCAATAGTCAGGCAGAAGCCCTGCTAACCCAAGACTGGCTGAGGGAGCTGGACACAGTTTGCCCGAAGGCAAAATGTTTAGGAGGCTAAGAAATCTTGGGGTTCTTAGTGGGGAGGCATAGCTCAGAAGAGTGGAAAGGTAAAAGCTGGGAAGCCCAGTGCTGTGGCCATGGAATTACCTTGACTTTATACAGTGACGTGGGAGGAAATGAGACACATCTGGCCTCTAACCAGTAACATTTTGCCACCATCCAGACTTGAGTGGCAGAGAGCAAGAGGGCTGATGTCTACGGATTAAAAACATGTATCGTGGTGCCACAGGAGAGCAAATAGGAGCAGGCTGTCCCTGAAGCCCTGGACAGGCCTGTGCTTTTGGATCCAGGGCTGCCATGCACACATGTGGTTTTAGAGGAGTGGAAGAACTGTTAAGAGAAGAAATGACAGAGGTGTTGAGGTGACTCCTTCATGATGTGATTCTGCAAACCAAAGAGGTGCCTCCCTAGCTCATCTAGCAAGGCAGCCATGGAGGCAGAACTCAAACCCGGGCCTGACCCAGAGCTCTCTCTGCAAAGCGGCACGGCCCTGCTCTCCTAGTGAGGTTGTGCTGGGTGGGCTGTGGGAACTGTGGCCCAGCACTGAAGACAAATGAAATGAAGTCTTTTGAAAGGAAATGGAAAATTCTGACATTGTTCTCAGACCAAACAACTTACTTTTTCTATGTCTTTTTGGAATACATTTTCTAGCTAATTAATGCTTCTCCAAATCCATTTTACATCTTATGTATATTTCTCTGCACTCTTAAGGTGATTATACAGAACATAATGGAACTATCTGTCCTGCCTCAGGGCAGTCATTCCTCACCAGTGACCCAAGTGACCAATACAGGGTCATACAAGGATATTTTTTTTAGTTTTTCAGCTCCTCTTTTGAGTAGGAGCTAGCTCTCTGTGTTGTCTTTACTACCTTGGGTTCTAGTTGACTGGACCTCCCCTTTCTTTGTTTTATCAATCCACTGCTTGTCATCTGCCCTGGGACATTTTTGCTAGTGCTTTCTTCCTGAAGGTTCGCAGGGGAAGTCATCTCCACACACGGGCGCTGTCATTGCATATACGTGACTCGCCTGTTCCTCCTCAGTTTAAGTCTATATTTTTTCCTAGAAGGAACTGTAAGAACTTAACAATGGTTACCTTTAAGGAAATGGGCAGGCAGAAAGAAGCCGAGGAAAAAAGGGAGGGTTTGTTTTTCTATTTAATGCCTTTAATTGATTGGGATTGTCTCATGCTACATGTATTTTAGTTTTACCTTAAGAATGCCAGTGGTGGTTATCTGGGCAGGGAGATTTTTTTTTTTACCATTTTCTCCCTTTTTTATTTTTAAAAACAAACTAGTAGGTGTTACATAATGATATCTGTGTGTGCATATCTCGTGTGTATATAACATAAATACATACACGTAAATACAAACTTTAAAAATGTCTATGACAATCACTTAACAAGTATAAATTTTTTTCCTAATGTTCCATTATATAATACTTATATATATCTGTTGCTGGAAATAATGTGTGTGTGTAGTTTGTGAATAAATGTATTAATATCTCTTGAAAAAGGTTTTTGGGGTAGGTGTGCAATTTCCAAGAATAATTTTGGAGAAACCCTTGAAGTTTTCAATAAGCAAGTTCTGTGTCCCTGCACACTTGTTATGACTGCAACTTACACTGAGAGATATAAGGAACTTTGTGACAGTTTTCCAAAAATTATTTACGGACCTTGGTTGTGGAATCTCACTTTATATTTGGTATTTTTCTTAAAAAAATTAAGACCCATCTACTTACTGTATTACAAGGCAAAGATACAGATATGAAATCTCATGAAAAAAAAGAAATACTATATATAATGAAAGAATCATAAAAAGTATTGATATTCACTTCTTGAAATTTACTCCATTACTTTGAAAAAAGACACCTGGGAAAGTCTAAAGGACAGTTTTATTTCCCTGAAACAAAAAGTATATCTACTCTTGAAATACAGGGGAATAAAATGGGTTTGGCACCTCTGGGGAAATTCTCCAACTGTAGTATCACTGATTCCATTATGCACAGATTGTTAGAAAGGTTTTTGATGCCACCACTAACTGCTCTGGTTTACTTCTACTTCCCTTGCTCTTTGACACTGGAAAAGTGCGGTGAGGAAAACACAAAGTGGGCTTCCAAATCAGGGTTGGTATCGACTCAATGCCCCGTCACGTCGTCATCATCACAGATGGAAAACTGCTTATTTGGGTTTCACAACTTACAACACAGCTGGAGCCTTCCCTAGAGGACTGATCCCTCGGTCAGAACAGGGTAGGCAGGGAGAATGCTGAGCAGGGAATCCAGAAGAGTGCTTGCCTGGGCCACCTCAGTACAAGCGGATGCCCAAGCAACCCAGCAAGGCTGTAGGAAAGCCAAGGGACCCAGGAAAACAGAGCTGGGCATGTACTAGGCCCTCAATAAATACTTGTGGAATAGATGAGATATAACACAAGTTATGTGAACAAAGTGATATAGCCTCTCTCTTCAAGATTTCATTAAAAAAGCAACATCGCTCATGTGGCTCTGGTCTGCAGGAAAAAGCAGACTGAGCAAATAGCACTGAAGCCAAAGCCAGAGTAAGCAAGCTAGCCTCCAGCTTTCTCCTTCCGTAAGTATAAACTGAGCTTGCACAGCCGAAGGTCTGCTATGAAGCAAACGAACTTGAAAAGCTAACAAACTCACTTTGAGGTAACACAGCATTTGTCAGAAAGGTGCCTACAGGGCTGAGATTTTAATTTTAGGAACAAATTCAAATTCTGTGAATTCCCACCTATGTTAGATGATCACATTAATATTTATCCAAGCACAGTCACTGACAAAGCTGAAGGGAAATCATTTGCCTTTTCTACTGTCCAAGCCCCTGCATCCTGTATGAGATCATTCGACAGACGGCGAGAAGACACAGTGGAATGGAATGTGATAGAATCCCTGAGCTGGGAAAGCCCTGAGAGGTCATCTGGTTCAATTACCCGAATACTGGAAGAAACTGTACCTGTGCAGCACAGAACTATATTTAGAAGTAAGGTCACACCCCTGTGTTGCCACGGTGTGTTTTTTTTTTAAAGTAAGTTAATCCAATATATCATTCATCTCCTAATCACAACATACTCTTTTCTGTTAATTTCTAAAAAAGATATTGTGAAGACATATCACTATTAGAACAGTATTTTAATACTGGTAACATGATTATATGATGTGAATATTTTAAATTAAGGAAAGTATGATGCTAACTTTAATTAATACTGCTATCTCTATAGTCTGACTTTGCATGGAAGGTTCTTAAAGTTAGTCTAGGCTTCTACTTAACACAGAAATCCTCTCTGTAGTATGCTTTATCTAAAAGATTACATAACAGATTAATGCAGCAACTTTATTTATACACTTTAAAATTTCACAGGAGGTGCTGAATATGGATTACTATTATTGTGTATGTCTTAAACCTTTTTCTAGATTTAAGTAAAGTTATGGTACTAAAATCTAATCTTTTTATTTTAAATTATTGCTAGTTACTGTAATATTAAGATGTGTCACACTGGATTTTAATTCTGTTACTGATTCATAATACAAAGCCTGTAGTTATTTCAACATCAAGTTGTAATTCTTTTGGGTAAAATATAGTAAGTACCTCTGGCTAATACATACAATAACACTCATACAAACAGCAAATAAAACATCTAATCTTAGAAATGATTTGTCAAATTCAGTCACAGAGCACCCACACAAAAGAAAGAACACCTTGGCATGAGCTGCCAGATTAAGTGCAGTGTTAACATAACCACAAAATACAGAGTGACCATATTTTGTAAGGAAAGAGGCTGGTGCAAACTTAATAGAAAACCCACGTTGCAGCCAGATTTGGCATCACCAAGGTATGCCCAGAGATTTTCGTTCTAAACAACAGTGCCACTCAGTGGCTGAGCAATGGCAGTGAACTGACAGACAATATGAATGGACAGTGGGCAAAAAGAAAAATGGAGTTTTGAAGTAGGCAATGATAATATTACAGGCAGATATATACTATGTTGTCATGGTAACTGTACCTGGGAGGTCAGTTAGAGTCTGGACAGGAACAGAAACCTGAGCATCGCTTCCTGTAACTACATCTCCTGGATTTCATAAGAAAAAATAATTAGATTTCATAAAAAGGAAAAAAACAACTTTAATTTTCTTTCATACTTAATATTGTAATACTTTTATCAGTCTATTTGCTAAAAGTACAGTAAAATAGAAAATACAGTGCAATCTTAGAAAAATTAATATATTTTTGAATGCAAATCATTTTTAAGAAGTTTCCTAAAAAGCTTTTATGTATTTTTTTCTAAAAGAAAAAAACAAATTTCAACTAACATATAGGAAACTTTAGCAATGAAAAGATTTTGCTGAGCAGATTTTATTGTTAGTGTGATTTTATATTTTCTTTCTTTTTTAAAAAAAGTCTTTATCCAAATTAGTTAAATGCATTTAAGAAGTAAGCATTCTTTTAAAACTGATTTCCTCTTATAACAGACAAAATTTATTTTTAACTAAACTTGAAACCAATTTCTTCAGTGGTAAGATAAAGACCTAAACAAGTTCTAATTTCATACTAAGTATTGAAAAGCTTTCCTAAGTTGCCACATGTACTTATAAATGTCAACATGTAAAAATAAATCTGTGAACTGCATACCCTTTAAACTCGATATACTCATGATAGGCGAGATTTCATTTATAAATTGGACCTGTGGTAAATGCTTGAAATAAATAAGTACTCAAATTCAAAAAAACAGATAAAAAGAAAGGACAAGGAGCACAACAGGATATTCTGTGAAGAACTCGAGGTGCTCGCTTATTTAGAAAGAAGACAGCTTGGTTCTCTGATTCCCTTCCTAGATGACAAAGTTCAACGGTAAACACAGTCCCTGTCAAAAGAATAAGCCTTCTGATATATCAGCATCAGAAGGCCTATGCTATTTCGAGATTAACAAGCTAAAAAACAAGCCTTCTTAAAAGGCACCATATTTTCTAAGTATGATTAATAGACTTGCTTTTCTTGTAGCTTTTATACAATAATAAAAATCAATTTTTGAATAAATAACATACCCTCAGTGCCTTGACCACTTGCTACAATTATGATTTACAGCAAGGTTGGCTCATCTTGAAATTATTGGGTTGTAATTTTATCAGCCCCATCAATTAACAGTATAGGCATTTATATTTTCCTATAACAAATAAAATCTATAAATAGGTATATACTACAAACAAGTGATAAACTGCTTTTATCAAGTCCTGAAGTTTCATAATATAGCTAACTCTATTCACTGATAAATGATGTTGTCCATTTTCTGTATATTTGAAGATTTTCAATTCTTTGCTTGCTACCATTTTATTCTGCTGCCCCTGGATCACCTATTGGTGTACATTTAGAGACTGAAAACTAATTTCATATTAAGTATCACCAGGAAAATTATGGAAGAACATCTGTGTTCCCTCCTCCTTCCTTCATAACTGCACCCCCCAACCCATACACCAACTACTGAATGCCTTTCAAACAGCATATACATGACTTTTGGGTTTTCCATATAATGGATCCCCTATATGAGCACAAATAATGGAGAGTTAACTAACTTATGAAAACAATAAGCATTTTCACCTTTATAAACAACTGTTTTTCAAAGCAACTTCAAATTTTCCAGCAGAGTACACTAAAATGCCTATTATGTGATCTTTCCTCAAAGGCAGTAGATGACTCTGTTCTGAGAGCATCAGAAATCATATTCCAACACAAGCCTCTGGACAGGCACATACTGTGCTCACTAATCTCTGGTGTCACAGCAGAGCAGGGTACTTGTGAGAAACACCAGTGTCCAGAACCAATGTTGAAGTACCTGTCCTCACACAGTGAACAAACACATCTTTCACCAAAGGATCCACAGATGCTGGGAACTGGGAGGCTCCCGAGGGATCAGTCAACACCTCTTATTTCAGGTAAGCAAAGGGTCAGAAGGCTTCTGGATTCTGCTCACAGTTCACTGGTAGGTGAATGAGGGAAAAGCATCAACCTTTGCTAGTTTCTACCTGTATAAACTGTTATCTTTTGCTTTTTACTCTATTTCACTCAAACTTTTCAGCAGGGAGGGGCATTAGCAGGAATATTTGTCTTTACAATGAAGCTAGACATAGTTTTGTAGATTGACATGAGAAGAATGAATCAGAAATAAAAAGACAGAAGTGGTGCCAAACCAGGCCACTTTCTTTCAGGGTAGTGATGGGCTACAGAATGCCCTAGTGATATCATGTTCTAAACGTTTTGCCTAAGTGTTCTGTTGTCTCCTTATAACTGGGACCTTAGTTTTTCATCAGTTGTTCCATCCTCATATACTTCCCTTCTCACTTACTGTGATATTAATACTTGACATTTCCTTTGAGATGCAACTTTATATTTCTATAGTCATTTGGCTTGGTTTCTCAGAAAATCTAAGCTAGAGCATTAAGAGATTCTCTGACTCATTTGCCTGCCATCAGTTGAAATTACTACTGACTACAGCTTGTTATCAAAGCAATATTGAAATTATATTTGTTTAGAACAATAAAAGAGTACAATTAAGAAATACATAAAATAACATTTATTTCCATTCTGGAAGTGGGCATGTCTCCTGGCATTAAAATATATTTACAACATGTTAATGATGTGAAGCCCCTTTTCTTTAAATCATGTGTGATTGCTTTACATTAAAAAGAAAAGAATGTAATTTTAAACAACATACTTTTGTGTAAGCTAAATTGAGTATTCTAGTAGAAATTTAAATACTCATTATATAAAGTCTAATATTTCACATAGGCTGATAGATAACATGATATAACTGATGGAAGAATATACACATACTAACTACTGAATAATATTTATTATTTTGTAGCCTTGGGGAACAAAGTCCATTTAACTTCAGTTTATCAATTTAAATGCCAATAATTAATAAATTTTAATAATTTTGGATGCAATCTTCTTAGAGTATATGGAACATTCTTACTGACTCATTATCACTATTGTCATTTTCAACACCAGTTATTGAACATGGCTATAACACAGGGATCCTGTAAGACATGAATGAGGCATGGGTCAGGATATTTGCCCTGCTACCTAAAGGCCACAGACTCTGTTCTGTGAAGTCTTAGGATTGATTTTTGTAGATTTTCTGTGATGGTGTTACTATTTCTTGCTTCTGTAGTATAGATAGCAGAGTTCCACCACTAAAAATAAATGTAGCTGTTTCTAATCTGCTATGACTAGGGGGCTGAAATACATATGTCTCAGTGGAAAATAAGAGTACAAAGGTGCTGATTAAGAAACTGAAGGGCTCTCTCCTGAAGCACTGGGAAGGCCCTGAAGCGCAGCAGGGCTCCCCTGGGTCCCAACATCGGCGGGAGACGTGGCAGTTCCACCCAGGGCCGCCTGCTCCGACGTTTTCTGGTTCTAACTTACAGTGCCTGGACTCAAACACCTACTTTGGCTGCTTGGAGTCCTATTTAGCCTTCTCCCCTCAAGCTTTAGTTTGTACTCCTCTGAGGTAAAAACAAGTGCACCTGTGAATGCCAGGGCCAGGAAAGCCCACTGTACTGAACTTCTGTTTCAGGTTCTCTTCCGGTCAGAAGCATTGTTCTACAAAGTCAGAAGAGATCATGGTCAACTGATTTCAAGTTCTGTGTGCAACAGCTCCTGCCATACTCTATGGGCATGCAAGGGACTCAAACGCAAGTGCACCAGGATATAAATGTTAGGCACCTTAGCAAATTACTTCAGAAAATGTTCTTAATTAAGAGCAATATAAAATCTGATATTCCAACTTAAAAAAGATCTGCTGTAACAGATTAACCGGAAATTAAGTAAGTTTTGCGTTCACTTCTGTTCATAGGAGGTCAGGTGCTCACAGGTGGGGAGGAAGGTCCGGCCACACGGCCGCCAGTCCACCTGCCTGTGCTCTCGCTCACCTCTGTTGAGCCGCACTGGCATGCTTTCTGATTTCATCAGCCTCTGCTGCTGCTGTGAGTGGTGCTGGGGGGCCTCTGCGAAGGTCCTGGTGGGAACCCCGGCAGTGCAGGAGCTACACGAGTTCCCGCTGCTGCCTCCTGGCACTGGGCCACCCACACTGCCTGCGACCGTTGCTGGAGACATCAACTTTCTTCCAAAATTAATCAGGCTATTAGAGACCTTATTTATGTTCAGGGGAGCACCTTTGGCATTGATCCTACAAAAAAAAATTAGGTGGCAAGATATTATTTAAATTGGAGACAACTCTTTCACATACGGCATTGGTATAAAAACTGTATCTTACCTGCTTTGAAAAGGCCACTGGCTAAGTCAGCTCCACAAAGTGAGAAATGAAAACTTAATAGTGACCACAGAATAATAAACAAGATCCTTAAGGGTGTGACTTATAGAAAATAGTCTTATTTTTCATTCATTCTTTCAATAACCAGGGCCAACATTGCACTAGGTTCTGAGGACACAACTGTCCAAAACAGACATCGTTCCCTTACTGGAGCTTTTTATCTAGTAGGGAAGAAATATATTAATCAGATACTTATACAAAGAAATGTCTGATTCAATGTCCTGAGATGAGGACTAGAAAGGAGAGGTACAGGGCTGGGCAAGTCTCGATGTACTCATAGAGGGGTACCTACAAAGTGAGGCTGAGAGGAGATTTCCTACAGGCACTGGCATGTGGGCGCCAGGCTACATTTAATCTGATTTTGGAAGTAAGTGTGATTCTATAGCATCTTACTATGCTGATGGACAGTGACTGTAACGGAGTATGTGGGGGGGACTTGATGATGGGGGGAGTCTAGTAACCATAATGTTGCTCATGTAATTGTACATTAATGATACCAAAATAAAAATAAATAAATAAATAAATAAAGTAAGTGTGTCTGAGAGTCACAGAGTAAATGCACAGAAGTTACATCCAGTGCCCTGGTCATGAGAACTGTAACCCAGGCCCGCCCGCCCCTGCACTCACTCCATAGCCTCCCTCACCTCCTTGCTTTGCTTTTCTTGACAGCACTTTGCATCGTCTGACATACTATGTATTTTCCGTACTTGTTATTATTTGTTCCCCTCCTCCAATCCCCACTCAAATAAAAATTTCATGGAGATGAAGGACTTTTGTTTCTCTGCCTAGGTCATAATATTTGTTAACCAGCAGCTATATCTGCCTGTCCTCTAAGTCTGTTTGCCTGTTTAGATGGCCAGCCTCTCTTTGTGCCCTTAGAGCCCAACTCTCTGCTTTCCAGCTGCTGCTCCTGCATCTCCCTCTCCAGCATCATCATCTCCTTTTCTACTCTATGGTTCCCATTAGTGTGCAGCCATGGGGGTGTGTGTGTCCCAACTTCTCCTTTGAGCCCTTGCTCCTATCTAGGTACCCTCACGCTTCTTTCCCTCCTCACAATGTGTACTTTTCAAGCAGTGACTTAACAGGCTGCTCCTGCCTCTGCAATCTTTGGCTCTCTGAGGCCTCCTTGCTGCGCAGAAACCACTCCTCAAGGCTACCAATGACTTCTGCACTGCAGAGCTGAAGGCCCACCCTTCATGATGCCGCTCCCCCTCTCAGCAGCCGTGTGCTGCCTGGGACACCCCATCTCTTCCGCTTTGGCTCAGCTTCCATAGTTTGCAAGCACCCGGGTTATAACTGTCTGGCCAATAGTGGACCCCAGGTAACATTTGTTAAATGAATTGTTACTTCCCAAATGACTCTGAACTTGAAGTATCTCAGGGTTATTGTCTTGAAGATAAGTTATGACTATAAATTATTTTAGTTGTAGGAGGCAGTCCAACTCCACTGACAATACTAAAGTTTTGGCATAAAAATTCTCATGCCTGATCAACTAACTATGGACAGTAAGTTAAAAAAAAGTATTTTTATTGTCCAAATCATTAACAGAAGCTTATTTTCTCACATTTTGCTTCTTTTTCATAGAAGTGAAAAACTGAAAATCAAGTTTAAGGGATCCAGTTAATTCATTTTTATTTAACTGTAATGTTATGATCATTTCCTTCTCTCAGATCCACCAGCACTTACATAGTAATTCTACTTTTTATATAGCAGCTTTATCTTTGGCATTACTAGATAGCTCCGAAACAGAACGGATCCACAGTTCTATAATAAAAAGGAAAGAACAGTATGCTTCTTCCATAAAGGTTTCTCCAATGATGCTAGCTAATATTATGGGCTAGGTATTAGAGACGTACATTACTTTGTAGATGAGACCAATCAAATTTAAAATCTGGAATTTAGCTTTATAAAAGGAAGATCATTCATTTACAACTCGGTGAAATGTGAAAAAATCATTTTTCAAATGGTTCTTTTTGCATCGTCTCATCTTAAAGAACTGAGCCATTTAATGTCCTTCCAAAAATTATTGAAAGTTAACATTTCCTAATGGAAATCAGAATATATATTGATTATACACCACTTAATTCCAGTTTTTAGCTGCTCCCTAATGAAGTAGAGAATTTTCAATTTATACACACTAAAGCTTAGCAACAGAGAAGGCACTCAGTACATGTTTATTGGGAAAAAGAATGAGTGAATTGAAAAGAACTCATAAGTTCCGGATTAAGAAGGCATCAACCTCCAGCACGGTACTGTGCTCAGCAGCCCACACGTGGTCCCACTCCCTGTGTGTGGGAGCAGAGAGAAGAGCTATCATGATATTGAAGTGCTACTGCATTTCAGTTTTGCTTGTTTGCAAGTCAAGATTCATAATTCACGGATATGAAGAAGTTATAATGCTGTTACCCTTTTTTATAAACAAAAATGTGTTAGTCAAATTCCCATATTGCCAGTTGTAAAATTTGTATGTTGATACAAGGACTAAGAAACTGCTAGAGCATCATCAAGAGAATATGGTTAATGCATCTTCATCACTACTACTAACCATGAAAAACAGATCATCATGCCAAGCAACTTTTCACTGATTAGATCTTAAAAGGGGATGAGCTCTGTTTTCCTCTTTTGAACATTTCTTTGTTTCTAACCAATTTCTCCCTTATCCATTCCACCCATTGCTTCCAGAAGAATATATTCTTTTCAAAACAACTATTGAAGGTGACTATATATTTTCAAGTATAAACTGTTATAAACCATGTACTTCTAGGGAAAGCTTACTGTCCATAGTTGGTTGATCAGGCATGAGAATTTTTATGCCAAAGTTAGCTAATATAGCACTTAAAGATTAGTAGCAGCATTCTTCACAAGAAATAGTAAACAATTTGCAATAATTATTATTGGCTGTGATGTATACTATTAAGTCATGTGTGCTAAATTAGTGAAAACCCATGTGGTTGCCAGAGGTCTGATGGACAGCAAGGACAGGGTTGAGGAGTGCGATGTGTGGTGTTGAAATAAATAGTATGAGGACTTTTGACTTAAGGCATTAAATAAATTTAATGAGAACTAATTCTGTATGAATTCTTTCTACTGGAAAATAGAGTAGCTTATACAAATACTTTTATTAATTAGTTGGAAATGGTCTTAGTTTACTACAATGGTAACAAGTATGTTCACTAAAAACAAGTCATTCTAAGGTACCTTATTTTTTGCCTGAGGTGTTTGTGAGACTTTATGAAGTATGTCTGTGCCAGTAGATAGGAGAGAGAATACTATATGCTCAAATACAAGCAGTTACACCTGAAGTGCACTGCTGAATGTTCTAGTCCCACCAAGGGCTACTGGTGATGATATGTGTTTCAGGCTTGTTCACAGACCTGCTCACCAGTCATTTTTTTAAGGTCATAACTTCTGTCAATAAGCTGTGTGACTTGGGAGAGTTGTTAACGTCTGCCATCTAGACCTAAGTTTATCTTTAAACAAAGTGGGCTGAATTAAATAATATTTTGTGTCCCCTTTTGATAGAAAATTCTACAATTCTGTGTCCTAAAGAAAGAGAAGAGGTGCTTATTGAGTTTGAGACCAGAGGCTGCAGAGATACCTAATACAGCAGATAAAATAACCAAAATTTAAAATACTCTCAACAGGTTAATATGAGAAATAACTAAACAGATAATATTTAACAAAGATTAATAAAAGCTTATGTATTTAGGTTAAAACTTTTTATAACTGCACATTACATACAGAATAGGGTAACATGGATTAACATGAGTTCATTAAAAAAAAAATACCGAACTCCCAAACATTAATGTTTTGGTTTCATCTACAAGGCTATCCTGAAGAAAAGTACAATTCCTGGCCTATGTTAGTACTAGATGAATGATCCTCTGGCCCCAGTCTGGCACGTGAGAAGCTGGGAAATCTCCATTCTGTCCTAACAACAAGTAAAAAGTTGAAAAACTGAAAAACAACTTTTTCTGAGATCCCTAAGAGAAGTGAGGTCCCAGGGCAAACTGCTGTCTCCGAACTGGAGAAACGATCAGGTGAGTATGGGGAATCACAACTCACTGAAGCAGAGAAGCACGGAATCAGCAAGGGGAGGTAAACCTGGACTGTAGTTGACAAGCTACCAGGGGCTCAGTGTGGGTCCCGGGGACCCAGGCTCAGGGTCCAGAGATTTGAGGCCAGCCCACAGTTTTGTGAGTTTTACCTCATGGAGCCCTATCAAGGTTCTCATGATAAATATGGGAGAAAACTAGAACTTCTGGAAGGAGGCAGGGAAAATGAACGATTTATAAATGAACGTTCTGTTCTACTTAACAAGGCCTGGCTTTGGGGGAAATTATTAACCAAAGCGAAGCCTGCTGGGGTTTTGTCAGAGCCTAACTGACCTACAGGCAGGGAAATACCCAACCCCAGCCCCCTCTAGTCATGCCGTCCCATCTAAGTTGGGGAGGGGGGCTGAGAGGCATGTGTGAAGTTCACTGTCCAGGGTCACAGGCTCAAAGAAACACTGAGACCTAATCATAGGACTACAGAATGCTTCCCCTCCCCCAACACATTATCATCACATTGGTAAAGGTTAATTGTAGCAGTTCCTTTTACCCAATACATTGTGTCCAGCTACCAAAGAAAAATTACAAAACATACAAAAAGAGGGAAAAAAAACCCCGCACAATTTAAAGAGACACAGCAGGCATCAGAACTACACTCAGACCTAGCAGGGATGTTGGAAAAATCAGGGAATTCAAAACTACTATGATTAAATCGCTATATGGATAAAGTAGAAAGCATGCAAGAACAGATGGGAAATATAAGCAGAGAGGAGGAAATTCTAAGAAAGAAAAAAGAAATGAAGA